TTTTGATAGCAGAAAAAAAAAAAATCACAGTTCACTGTGGAAGACAAACTTTTTAATTTAAAAATGAAATGAAATTAAATATAGTATAAATAATTACCTTCCAGTGGGATTATGGCAGCCACAGGAGTGAGATCCACCACCCTATAGCTGCTCGGACTGATGCAGCCATCCAGTTTAATAAGATGCTCTTGAGAGCACTGTGCCATACCGTGATCACTAGTGATGATGACATTTATTTTCCCCCATAATCCTGTTTTGTTGAGCTGCTCCATCAGGAAGCCTATATGACCATCCACTTCCTTTAAAACCCTGCTCATCTCAGTGGTGTTCTCCGGGCCGTACATGTGTCCGCTCCGGTCGGGCTCTTCCCAGTACAGAGCGGCAAACTTCACAGATTTGTCCGTGGTCATCCACTGTGTGAGGTTTCCCAGCCTGTCTTGGAAAGTCACCTTGGGGTCGTATTCGAATTGGTATTTTAATGTGTGGTTTTGAATATTGACATCCGTTCCTGGCCACATAGCAGCCGCTGCCTTATATCCAGACTCCTCCACGGACACCCAAATCGGAGTGGCTTCGTTCCACCAGAAAGGGTCACTGTCATTCTGAATGGAGAATGTCTTTTTCGACACCGGGTCGTACATAATACTGGCCAGTATCCCGTGGCTCTCCGCGTACAGCCCTGTGACGAGACTGTAATGATTGGGAAAGGTTTTCGTCGTGAACACATTGGTCAGCTCGCGCACAAGGACGCCCTCGGAGAAGAACTTCTCGAGATTGGGAAATGAGTATTTCTTTAGGTAGTCTGCGCGAAAACCATCAAACGACACCAGGAGGAGCGGCGGCGCGTCGTTTCCAGACTCCAGTCGCGTTTGGTTTCCGGTCGGCACGGACAGGGTTAATCCAATACAGGCGATGAGAGCGCACAGATAACCGCTGACCTGCATGCTGTGCTGTGGCTGTCACTTTCTTCACTGTCAATATACGAAAGCAATTTATAACAGACAGAGACAGACCACCGCTTGTTCATGTTAAAGTCCCATAATGAAATGAATTTTTACCCACAAGTCATCAATTTCCTCACTAACACACACTCTTTTCAGCAGACAACAACGCTGCTTCACTTGTGCTGTTACAAACCTTTACTAACCCACCCTGAACTTTACTGACCGCATGTACAACTTAAACTTAATTTAAAACTTACTTTATTTCAACCAGTTGCCAAAAAGACATTTAAAAAAAAAAAAAAGAATGGAAAATAACAAAAACACACAACAAAATTACTATTCTTTAACTTATTCTTACTTATTTTAGATAGTTGACAAGGCAACATTTCTCATTTTCATTTACTTTAAGTTGAAGTACTAAAATAACTAAAACCAAATAAACTAATAAAAACTATACAGACACATTTAAAAAATAATAATAAAAAAAATGACAAAAACACAAAATTACTAAAACTTCTTACTTTATTCAGCTAGTTGTCAAGGCAACTTTTTTCAAAACGGCAATATATGCCAAGCATGCAACACTTGCACATACTCTTTTCCACAAAAACTGTTTTCATTCGTAGTTTTCTTATTATTTTAAGACAATTATGAATGCAGACGATGTGAAATATTTTAACTGCAGTCATAGGGTTGAACTAATGTTAGGGAGAGACTTCGTGTTAGTAATAAGACCGAAACAACTAAAAGATTAAATATATAATAATCAATAATCAAGATAACTGCACATACTTTTTTCATTGTACATAGATATATTATGTAGTAAAGTATAGTAGGATAGTAAATTATGGATTAAAATGAATTTATTTTATATATATATATATA